TCCAGCCAGGCGAGACCTCATCTGTGCTTTTACCAATGTGAAGTGGATTCATAACTTAAGACGGTTTGAGTGCTTGTGGAAGAAGTAGAATTCTTTGTCAGTTGTTACAAACTATTAAAGTTAAACCAAAAGTAATTCTAATATCAGTTTTAGGATAATTGAAAAGTAAGAATTGGTGACATTTAAGAATTTTATGTATGAATATGGAAACTGCTAAATACATAGTTTATGAAGGACAACTTTTAGTGAATGATGGATACATTAGTTGTAACGGTAAATATAAACACAATTGCCACTTCAAGTGTTCTAATATATATGAAATCAGTTATAGGAAGTTATCAAACAAGAAAAAAACCTACGTGAATGTGTGCAAGTTGTAAAATTGTGAAAATGAAACACTAGGAAACGTTTATTTTATAAGTCCAGTAAAAGATAAGTAAAGTAATGTCACCTTGAATAATGTACAAGAAGAAACAAGTGAAATTAGTTACGAACCAAAGCAACTAGAAAATATTTTGGGAGAAATCATAAAAGCATGGATACTGGTAGTATTTAAGAATCGTTAAGAGAAACAAATGGAAAATTATTTATATTACCTGTTTTAAAAAAAGAAAATGCCAGATATTAAGAAATTTGTAGTTATATTTATCTGAACAGCATGATGAGTTTATTGGTAAAATAAAAAAATTGTCAAAAAACGGGCAGAAACTAATAGACAAATATAGATATTACAAAATCAGTGCAAAGAAAACGAAAAAATGATATTTTCTGTGAAAATGCAGGTGAATAGTTTAGATCAGTATAGTAGAAATCGAATTATTTAAATACATAATATTCCTGTAATTCAATCAGAAAATACCGAGAAGTTGAAAGAAATTGTAAGTAAACTTATTAACAAACTTGAAGTAAAATATTCTAAACTTGAAGACATTGAAAGAACATACAGAAAAACAGTTTGCGCGTACATGAGCATCAACAGAAATTTCTCCCCCGGAGGGGGGGAGGCAAAGTCTAAATTACTGGTATTTTTAAAGGTATATATATATATATATACTGAATGACTAGAAAAAATGAATATGTTTCTCATTTTCCAGGGGGCAAATGCTCCTTGCCCCCTTCCCGCGGATGACCACGTGCATATCCCGCCTATTCTAATCCGGTTCATTAATAGAATGGCCTGTGAAAAATGGTTAGCATGAAGAAAACTACGAATACAATGTTCAGAAATTCAAGGAAACCTACATCAATCGCTCATTCATATTAATGTAAATTTTACTAAAATGGACAGAGAATTTTTGTGGAGGACAAAAATTACAGTGAAAGAAAAGAAATATAAATTTGTTTGATATAACAATGGAAAAATAATATTTGTCAGAAAAGAGGTAGGAAGCAATATTTTAAATATTGCGAAGATAAAAGATTTGCAGAAAGTAAATTAAGTAAATATAAGTTTATTAGATAAGAACTATGAACTGTCTAGATTTATCTAATATAATATCAGAAACTAATTTTCATACAACTTAGACCCCAAGTGGCACAGCGGTATGTTTGCGGACTTATAACGCTAGAATTTGGATTTCGATACCCGTGGTGGGCAGAGCACAGATAGCCTATTGTGTAGCTTTGTGCTTAATTACAAACAAACATACAACTTAAATTTAAGAAACTGAATTACAGAAAAGAAACATGTATAGCTTTTAAAAACTGGAGTTATTTCAGTATTGCATGTTAATAAGAGAAGTTTAAAGAAAACTGGGATAAGTTAAAAACATTTTTTACAGATATATTAACAGCTTTAGATATCATAGCGTTAACTGAAAAAAATACAACTTTGAAAGAAAACGCAACTTTTACTTTGCCATATTTTCAAAATTCTACTAAAAATGTCTACAGTTATGAAGGCAGAGGCCTTGTTCTTTCAATATAAGTGAAATGATGTGTCATTTACTAACATACAATGTAGAACCCGCTGAAGTGTAAAGTTTAAATGTATTTAAGGGTTCTTTAATCATTCATATAACTGCTATACATAGATCTAGTAATACAAATATATAAATTTTGGGGGATAATTTATAGTTATGGTTAAATCATTTAAACAAAAACAAAAATGTTTTAATTATAGATGATATTAACATAGATATTATGGATGACAATAAACATGGTGTTCAAAGGTACAAAAATATTTTAGCAACAAATGGTTTGGATCAACATATAAATTATTATACAAGAGAAGAAACCGCAAATAAGAGATTGGACCAACCATATTTAGATCATGTCATTACAAATCTTTCAAATAAACTTGTTGCTTCAGTTGTTAATAAAATTAAAATCTCAGATCATTACATTATTTTGACTTTAATTGATACTGAAAAATTATCATCAATAAATGAAAGGTATAAGTTAAGTTATAATAATGAACAAATTATTGCAACATTTGAAAAGTTGAAAAAAAATCTTACAAAGAAAGAAATTCTAAAATTGACTGGTATGCATGAACTAATAACATTTGTAACTCTCAGGCATTATATGATATGATATTAGAACATCCCATAATAAGCATTAAGGAGAAAAAATTAAAAAATAGATCGAGAATGGATTACTGGTGAAATAAAAGTGTATGTTAAAGAACGTTAAAAACTGTGGATGATTTAAAAAATAATCCAACAAGTAAATATTATACGTGGATTTATGTGAAAAGTAGAAACAAAGTAACAAATAAAATAAGATTACAAAAAAAACAACGCTATCCCACAAAGTTTTATAGTAACAAAAATAATATGAAAAATTGGAGATTGTTAATGAATTGGTAGAAACTAAAGCAAAAGTTCAAGTGACGATGTTATTATTAGAAATATAGCAGATAATTTTAATCATTATTATGCAGACTTAATACATCCATTAAATAATACAAATATTTTTTCACACAGATTTGTACCAGATTAAGATTTTATGCATGTAAAGTATATAAACTTGAATTCAATTCTGCTCCTTCTGTATGTCAGTTGGTTTATAAATCTTTATGTGAATCTGTGATTCGTTATGGTATAACGATATACGGATCTGTTTATGATTCTTATATAAACAAAATATTACAGTTACAAAATAGTATAGTAAAAATGTTTTACCAATAAGAAAAAACATAACATGGTTGCTTATGAAAGATATATAACTTCGAATATAATGAATGTGTTTAAACCATACCAATACTCTATTATAATATAGTACAAGTGTATTATTTCTTATCGCCTTTAAAAGCTAGAATAGATATTGATAAAAATGTAAGACAAATATTTAGGTTATTATAAATTACCTGTAAATTAAGTTATCAAGTACAAAGTTTTAATACAATTCCAAGAAATGTAATGGAAAAAGTTGATAAAACATAATTAATAACACAAAAATAATGATGTGAACTAATATATGTACAATTGAAAACATCCAAACTGAGTGTGCATTATATTATATTAAGATATTATTGTATTCTAAGAGTATTGTGCCATCAGTTTTAATTTAACTTAGTTTTAAATAGTACATTTCCTGCGGATAAGCTTTAAGCCTCGTGGGATGTTATTTAAATGTACCATGTGTATTAATACATTATCACGTTGTTAAGAAAAAGGCTGAGACAAAACGGTGAGGAGTTCTGAAGCTCGTGTTCTATATAATTTTACTATATTGATATTTTAAAAGCATTGCACTGCAAAAAAAAAAAAGAAAGTAATTTTTAGCTCTTGCTTCATTTCAAGAGCACCTAGTTACCTTCGCCACCGAGTATGACGGAGGTTGTTTTCACTCCTGTGTGTGTGTTTGTCAGCAGGATTTCTCGAACACGAATGAATAGATTTGGACAAAAGTTGGTATACATTTGTAATATGGCCCAACATAGAATTGATTAGTTTTTGGAGGGTCTAGATCAAAGATCAGGGTCGCAGCAGAGTCACGAAAATCAAAAAAATTCCTATCTGTTAACACGTGGACCGATTTCTCACGCTATCTTTGCTCTGTAACTAAGTTAAAAAGGATCGAATTTTGATGAAACTTGGTGGACATATTATTCTTCATCGTTCTGCCAAAAATGGTCCGTGTCCGTTGATAATGACGGATATATGGAGACATTTTCGTATATGATCAACGCTGCGTAGCGGAGGTATGCACTCTACTGAGTGCCCCTCTAGTTATAAACTGCTACCATCGAGCCGATTTCATTAATTTATAATATTATGTTTTATCATAATTTTCTATTTAAAAGATGGATATTCAAACTTCGCCAACTTCGACATCACACATCACATATTATAGAACTTAATTCTTAATAGTATTCGTAGCTCCTAGTTCGTTACGGACAATAAATAGTATTTCAGTTTCATTTCCAAGTTTAATCACACGAAACATCTGAAGAACTGTTAAGTAGTTTCTCCACGACAATAATCAACTAAACTTAGAGTAAACAAATCCAGCGTAGAATAATTATCAGAACAGTTAACCTCATTTTCACACATATTCTAACACTAAAAACATTGCTTCAAAATGATAGATATTTTTATATCTTCCTTCATAGTTTGTTATAAGTTAACGTTTATTTTATAGTGTTGTGAACTTGGGATGAGGAAACGAGACACCAAACACCATAAAAATGATGTATTAAGGTAGTACGTACTTAATACTTCAGTTTAACTTTACATTTTAGTTGTACACAAATGGATTATGTTTATTACTTAATATTAGAACCAAAATAGTGATCATGTACGTTTTGTTTTGCAGCAATATAAATACCATTGGGTCCTATTATATATTGTTTTATTACAAAATGTTGTTTATTTTCCAATTTTCTCGATAACCACGAACTATGAGATAGATAGATAGAAATGTGTTCAATAGATCGCATTATAGTCTAAAGTTCACATCAGCTTTACTATTAAAAATCTAGTTTTGTTAAAAATATTTTCTGAACTTGGAAATAACCAATTACAATTTAGCTGCAAATTGGAACATTTCATAAATTCAACGTTTCGCTTCTGTGTTATTATTACCAAGCATGTTTTGCATAACGTTCTTGCTCTCGAGGATTTTCATAGGTGTTCCCTTTGTAACGTTTCCAAGCAGCTGGATCTCACGTGATGTTACGTAAGTAGTTGCTTGAATCCACATGCTGGACCACGTGCACCCACAGGTGTCGGGTCTTCTGAAAGAGTAGTTTGATAGATTGCTAACATGGCGGATAAATATATGTATTACTTCTATCATTCTATGAGAAATATTTCATGGCAAAAAAAAATGAACTACACAACTAAGTTTTAACATTACTGCCTAACTAGCTACGTCTTTATTTATTTTGTCTTTTTATCTGAAAATTGTTGACATTCCTTTAACATCTCTACAGAGTGATATATGAGCATGGAAAATATTTATACACTGTAGTTTTACGATCAGTTTTCAAATTGAGTTGTTCAGTGTTCTATCTAGTAATATTTTAAGGAATCATTGGTATCTTGTTCCACACAGGTTAAAATAAAAACGATAACAAACATAATTTGGTCTTCTTTGAACTTTTGAAGAGTTAATGGTGATTGCTTAAAACTATGGTTTTAAAATCGAAAGTTAACGGAAGATTTTATCGTTTACCTTTGTCAGATGCGGTTCACGAAAACAAACAAAAAAGTTCCTGGAAATGATATTATTCGTTGATGTGACTCCTCTGTAATAGTTAATAAAAGGGTGCTTAAGGTATTTTTACTACTTGTATTTTATGATATTTAAATGCAGATATATTAATAAGCTAATAAGAAGCTCCATGCCATTTTCACTTTAAATATTTTATCACTAATGTCCGAAAGTGGTATGCGATATGATTACGATACCAAAAAATAAACTTTGTTTATAGAGAATATGATTACAGTACAGAAAACAAACTGTGTTTATAGAGAATATGATTACAGTACAGAAAACAAACTGTGTTTATAGAGAATATGAGTACAGTACAGAAAACAAACTGTGTTTATAGAGAATAGTATATAAACATAGTTTGTTTTCCATATTGTAATCATATTGTATATAAACACAGTTTGTTTTCTGTACTGTAATCAAATATGGAAAACAAACTGTGTTTATATACAATATGATTACAATACGGAAAACAAACTGTGTTTATATACAATATGATCACAATATGGAAAACAAACTATGTTTATATACAATATGGAAAACAAACTGTGTTTATATACAATATGATTACAATACGGAAAACAAACTGTGTTTATATACAATATGATCACAATATGGACAACAAACTATGTTTATATACAATATGATTACAATACGAAAAACAAACTGTGTTTATGTTTACAATGGAAAAAAATCAGGTGATGTGCTACACATTATACAAGATATATTTTATCTATCACCCGCTCCCTAGCAGTCTGTTCTTAATAACCTGTTTTAACTTTTTCTTCTCTAACTTTACTTTTATGTTTCGCTCTTAATGCCTACTGTCTCACAATTACCTGAAGACAATGAATGGTAGATTCAGGTATGGAATAGTCTTGTTCACCCACCCCTACATACTTATAATTGTTTATTTCAAAATACTTTTTCAGTTTCAATTTCAATAGGAACGCAAAGCTTGCGAATAGAGATCCAATCTGATAGATAGTATGGAATCAGCTGATACTTCTCTTACTATAATACAATTTAAGATTTTATTCATTCCTCTTTTAAGGATTTGATCTGCACAGAAACTACTCCAGTTCACGATAAAACCAATCTCCATACAAACAACGCTTTGATCCTCAAGACACCTAAAACAACCTGCGCAGAGACTACTTCTTGCACCTCACGACTCATAGATAGTCTTAGAAAAAACTAACATTTTCCCCTTCACGATAAAATCAATCTGCACAGAAACTGATTCAGTAGAAAACTTAAAACAGAGACTACTCCTTCCACTCGTGATTCGTGAAGGTTGTCTAATGAGCCGTTAAGTTGTTTCAGGAGCCTTGAAGGAGAATGAGTAATCTCTATTTACCGTTAAGTATATTTAAGTTCATGTTTATATATGTATATATAACGAAGAACAACTCATAAAATAAAGATTTCATCTTTAAAACATTCTGCAAAATATATACTTCTTTAGTAGTTGACACAATTGCTTTTCAAACTGAATTTCATCAATATAGAAAATATCTTATTTACTGTATATATATACATCTTAACATTTCTACCATGTTTCCGTAGCGTTTAAAAATGTTGATCTATAATCTGTAAATGGTGTATTCTCACCTTATGTTTTGAAAGTATGACACCTATGGTTAGCTTTTCTTTTTAAACTTGTTTAAAAAATATTGATTAAACCGACAAACATTTCACATTATAGTAGTTGATCCATAAATACAGTATTTAATCACAAACTTGTCCGACTTCGTCATTTATAAACTTTTTCATGTATGACCTAGTGGCTAGTGTTCCAGACTATAGATCCAAGGATCCGTTGTTTACATCCTGCTGCAGCAAAACCACACCTTGCACTTCGGCGCAGTGAGTATGTTATAAAAATGACTGTCAAATCTCACTCTTCGATTATAAAACATTCGAAACAAACAAACAAGTCCATGTTTGAAATAGATATATTATAATAAGATAAAAAAGGTTAATAGTATGAATTTTTTTAATATATTTAAACAAATGTGGATTCTTATTGTACAACATGGACTCAGAATACACGAAATAACATGTATATCCAAAAGTCATCACATATGTGTACAAAAAAACTGCAAGGTATGCTAGTAGTAATTTGTTCATTAGTTTGTTTTTTTAGAACAAAATCACATTGGGCTATCTGCTATGTCCACTGGGAGTGAATCGAACCCTGGATTTTAGCGTTGTAAGTCCATAGGCTTGCTGTTGTTCCACTGCGAGCACTAATAATAGTATCATCTCCTTATGATAAAAAAGTATATTGAGTTTTAATGATATTTTAAATTATTTTTTGTAATATGACTCATTCTCCATTGATTCCTTAACAATGTTGCGGCAAAAATGGCAGAAACTGATAATAAACATTAGTTTCACACACCTTAACGTGCAAGCATATCCAAATTTTTGTTATTGCTGTTGTTGTTCTTACTTGGTCAGTTTTCACCATCCCCCAAACATGGATAGTACTCTAAGATTAACAGAAAACTGAAAAAAATCAGAGATTTATATATATATAAAGAAAAATAAGTCATTACCTAATATCTTAATCTAAATTTAATTTAAAACTCTTTTCCAGCTCGAGCGTCAATAAAATTTGAAGTAAAATCATTTACTTTATTATGCTTTAAAAGCTTAGTAACATTTTATATTATTCATTTCAGAATAAACCTATGATAATGTATGAAAATAAGTTTCCATAAGTTTCTTCGAATTGACTATTGAGTTACACACTGAAGTCAAATCAAACCTCGATTAAATAAAAGATGAGTTTCAAAACATTTTTTTGCCTTTATGTATGAGTAATATCTTACTCTCCATCTCTCTTTTAGTGGATACATAAAGAAATAGATAATAGATAAAAAGATTTGTTGTTGTTTTTTGTGGAATTTGCAAGCCTTTGGTAAATTTTGTTTTCCCATGGAGTGATTTTAGAGACATTTAAAACATGAATATTTATATTTTAAAGTGTTATATATGCATGTATACATTTGAAATTAGAGAATAACTGAGTATATATATTGAAAAAATTTCCAAGTAAGAAACTAATTATGTTGTTTTAGGGCAGAGCTACACAATGGGCTATCTGCACTCTGTCCACCGCGGGGAATCAAACTCCGGATTTAGCGTTGTACGCCTGTAAGCTTACCCCTGACCACCGGTGTAAATAGTTTAATGCGTGATTAGTTTAAAATAAATGTATAATTTTCTCGTTTTTCTTATTTTGAAATTGACAGCTTGTAGTCTGTACAACACGTTGACATAAGAAAGAGATTTAACTAAATGTTTTTATTCTAAAGTTTAATTAACCTGTATTTCATTCTGTGATGAAACTGTGTATTTATTGAGGCTTAGTTAAAAAACTTTTCAACCAATTTTAGATAATTTCATCCAACTGATTACATATTTATCATATGTATTCTAAACAGAAAAAAGAAGAGTCAATGAAGAGAACATTAAAAACGTAATATTAATCGTACACTTCCAATCGCCTACTATCTGTTGTTTTTACTCTTTTCAATCTACACCTATTAGTTTGTTCTGATGTTATGGCACACACATATTTACACATTTCAGTTTGATCTTATAGCATACGTGTATGTTTTGAAATGTAATTGCTATGTATTTTAGTAGAATTCCTAAGAAACAGCGGGTCTCAAACTTTAGTAACCCGAGAACCCCTAAATCTGTCGATGTTTTTGTTTTTATGCAATTTCGGACATGACTCAAAGACCACAGTTTGAGGAACGCTGCTCTAAAAGTTTATATTGAAAACGGGGTATATTTCATTAATCTGGCATAGAATTTACCAAAGTCGCGATTAAAGACGGTTATTATTATAAACCCTAGCTTTATTTTAACCAGTTCGTCAAATTATCATTATTTATTTTATAATTGTGAAAGAAGTATGATATATAGTATGATGTTGTTTTTTCAAAACACAACCATTATTATACTTTATTAAAATTAATTTTTATTATCATTATTTTTGTCTCATATCTTTACCAGAAAAAAAATACATAAAGAGTTTGAAACGCAGTTATAGTTACACGAAAGAAATAAAATTAATTGTTAATCTTCTACACAACGTGATATCAAACTAAACAGATGAAGCAGGAAAGCTTACCACAGGTTCACGGATAATATCTGAAGGCTAGCTGTATATCTCAACCTGTTGCATCTTTTTTTGGTAGAATCATGAAAATGTCCACCCTGTGAACGTTAAAACGAGCATTGTTGTGTTTCATGCCCATTATAACGGTCACAAGATGGTGACATTTCAACTTTAACTCAAGCTTCGGACCTCAATAACTGTTTTAATGCTAGAAGAAAAACCAGGATCTCCCTTTTCTATCTTTTACTTCTGCCACTTTACAAAGAATGCGCATGCGCATTGTAAGCTCGGTATCTATCTGCAATTATGTCGTTTGATAAAAATTATTGGTCCAAATTAATGACAAAAGTAACTTGTCTTCAATTTATCGAATATCAATAGAAATATCAAGTAATGCTTCGAGCAATTCAAAAGGGGTGTCATAGCGATCATAGGGAGAAAGCGATGTACTCGTCCCGAGTCATATCACCTCTTATTAAAAATAGATTTCTGACGCATGCGCAAACTTAGCAGATGTCATGTAGCAGATGTCATGTCAACTTAGTGAAGCGAATAGTCAGCGAAATATGTTTTGGACATTAAGTCCTTCATCTAACAATGAGTACTAAAAAAATTATACCTAATTAATTGTTTCAATTAGTAGATAAACTGATCTAAACACATTGCAAAAATATCTTTTCAATTTTATTATCACAATGGAACATTGTTGAATCTCCTTAATTATATGTTATTTTATGAGCACTATTTTAAAAGCCCTCCAGTAGCACAGCGGTATGTCTGCGGACTTACAACGCTAGGATCCGGCTTTCGATACCCGTGATGGGCAGAGCACAGATAGCCAATTTTGTAGCTTTGTGTTTAATTACAAACAAACAAAACTATTTTAAGATTATACGGCTTTCTACTGTTTCTTTCTAGTTATTTTTTAAAGTTCGTTTTTCCAGCCTTTTTGGTCTAAAAACTGCTTGCTAAACTGTATTATTTCAGTATAGCGTTTACAACGCATCCAAATGAATAAACATTCTTATATTAATGTTTAAATTTCTTATTCTTGTGAACTATCAACGTAATTAGCATTCAATTAATATATATATATATAAAATTTGACGTTTACAGCTGAAGAGTAGGAGTAAATTATGATTATATTTTAATTGGGTACTCTTTATAAAGAGCAAATGATGGATTACACTTTGTGTTTAGAAAAATAATATTCCATATTAGCGCGGATTATTTAGAAAGATTTAACGGATCTAATAGCATCTTTACAAAAAATAGAAAGTGTTGTGTAGCATTTATTAAATTAATTTAACTCTGGTTACCACTGATGGGTTTTGTTTCATTCATTTGGGGTAAATTCATTCGCCGAACTCTACTGTCTAGTTATACAAAGTAACCTCTTTTTTTATCTTCCAAAACAAATTAAATTTGCTGTTGGTATTTATAATAATTATAAATTGTTATTAGCAATACCTTGCTTCTTCTGGTCACGATGCGCGAATTGAGATCTAATATTAACAACAAGTCTGGTCATTGATAATAATCAGTATAACGACGTACATTACCGAAAACAAAGTGTCGAATGTTTGCTATTACCGTCGTTCTACTGATTATTATCAAATTCCGATTCCCATCGAACGAATCTGTTGCAAGTCTGGTCATGGTGTGAGCTTTGAGATCTAACATCTAACATTTACCGAGCTTCTTCTGGTACTGGCGTGAATAATGACATATAATATTAACAAACACCGAGCTCCTAACCATGGTTTGAGAAATGAGATATAATATTAATAGACAACCAGCTTCTTCTGGTCATGATGTGAGAAATGGAATATAATATTAACAGACAACGAGTCTGGTCAAAACGTGAATATTGAGGTCTAATATTAACAAACACCAAGTTTCTTCTGGGCCTTGCGTGAACAATGAGATCTAATAACAGTCACCGAGCTCCTTTTATTCATACTTTAAGCATTGAAATCTAATGTTAACAGACAACAAGATTGATCATGATCTGAGTATCAGACATCCTGATGTGTTTTGTTTGTTTGTTTTGAATTTTCGCACAAAGCTACACGAGGGCTATCTGCGCTAGCCGTCCCTAATTTAGCAGTGTAAGACTAGAGGGAAGGCAGCTAGTCATCACCGCCAACTCTTGGGTTACTCTTTTACCAACGAATAGTGGGTTTGACCGTCACATTATAACGCCCACCCGGCTGAAAGGGAGATCATGTTTGGTGGGACGGGGGTTCGAACCCGCGACCCGCAGATTGCGAGTCGAGCTTCCTAACCACCTGCAATGCTGGACTCTGGTCCTGATGTGAACAACGAAATCTAATATTAACAATAACTGAACATCTTCTGGTCATTGTGTGAACAATGAAATCTAATATTAACAGACAACAAGACTGATCAAGATCTGAGCATTGAGAACTGAAAGTATTAAAGACCAAGCTTCTTCTGGTCATTATATGGATGTTAATATTATGCACCCATCAGTTAAGATGTCGTCATGATATGGATATTAATAACTGATTCATAGCAAAGTATATCGTACATCAAATATCATCTATGATCTTATATTAGAAGTACGAGTCTAGCATCTAATATTGTTAATTTTCGGAATTAAATACCAGATATAAATCCTAAATTGGTAATTATGTGAGTATATATTGGTATATACCAACTAATATTTGGACTTGGTTGTGGCAACGAATTTTTTTTTTTTCATATATCAATGTTGAAGTGGATTTTATGGGGGGTATGAAAAGGCATCCACTTACATAAAGTTTTTTTAAGTTGTACAGATATAGATATAGAACTGTATACTTACTTACATTAATGTTCTCTTACTTTTATATTTAGTTTTAAGTCTTGTTCTAGAATCCTCAGTTCTAAACTTGAGAGCTTTTTTTAGTGAAAACGACCCTGTCACACTCATTTGGTATTCTGACTATAACTCCTAATTTCAGGGTAAGTTAGTTCTTAGATATTAGGCATAAACCAGCTATAGTGAAAACATATAATTAAACACTTTTAAGTTATTTCCTGTTTTTATTTGTTTGTTTTCCTACAACAGTAGAGCATATTCTACGGTAATATATTTATATACTACTATAATAGATAAGTTTAATCAATCAGTAAAATGTATTAAGATATGGTGTATATTAAAATTAGAAAACAATTTATTAGCATCAGCAATCAAATAAGTATCAACTTACAAATATAACGTATTACATGCTAAAGATAGGTCATTAGAACATGAAAATTTTTGTTATTTAGAGTATTTCAAATAACTATCGTAATAAATCAATTTGATTGTCTCCTTAGTTATTATTTAAAGATAACATGAAACAGCTCAGAGAAGGCAAGATATTTGTGTT